GGTTCTAATGCATGAACTGTTCGTCAGTACAGCGCCCAATCCCCTCCTACACCAATCCAGTCTTGCACCCTAGTGACTGATATTCCACCTGCCCTTCTTTAACCTCCGCATAATCATCTTCCGCCCCTTCTTCGTCCTAATCCTGCTCAAAAACCCATGTCTCCTCTTGCGCACCAGATGACTCGGGTTGTAGGTATCACGCGGACCGCACCGAATCTGCATGCTGCCCAGACCAGGATGTGAGGAGATTTTGGAGGCGAGGTCCAGCGTCTCGGAGCTTGAGGGGACCAGAGAGGTGGTGCCCGCGGGCGGGAGGGCGTTTGTGCGGGGCAGCATGGGGCGTCGGGGGGTGAGGAGCGATATCTGGCGGGTGGACGAGGGTGTGGATAGTCTGGAGGATGGGTTAGAGGGGTGGAGAAGGGGCTTGGAGGGTGGGTAGGTACGAGTGTGGTGGTGCTATGCGTGGTCGGAGGAGTGTGGATGCGCTGGTTGAAGGGCGCGCGACGACCCGTAGGCACCGGAAGGCGTTCATGATGTGTATGTCGACCGCAATTGCCTCCTCTTCGCTCGTTATGTCGTCTCCGTGGCGGCGTGGTCCCGATTTGTCGATGCGAGCGTGCAGTCTGGCATGCCCGTCGCGAAGTCCGCAGAGCTAACACATTCCTTGTCGTCCGTGCGCAAAAAGTTGGCCGTCGTCCCAAAATCCTAGCCAACAACTCCACCATTTCCACGATAGCAACTACCCACCCAACCCTCTATTTCGCGCCCAAACACTGCCAAAATGATGCTCGAAGCACCTCCTCCCCGCCGCCACGTCTCCAGCGCGCCCATCTCTCTCGACGCTGCGTCGGCCATCCTCGAAAAGTACCTCTCGAACTCGGAAACGTACCCGCATCTCCATCCCGATGCGACTATCACACCAGAAGGCGTCGCATTCAATGCGCAAGGCGGTGCTATGGGTAACCCAATCATGCACCACTTGCGCCGTGTAGCAGCGGGTATGCGCGGCGAGTACCAGGAACCAGAACGAGCGCTAGACGAGGAAGACGACCGACAAATCGCAACCACGGATGTCACTGTCAAGACTGGTCGCAAGGGCGGCCTCAAGAAGTCCAGCCAGTTTGCAACGGTTGCCGAGGGAGAATGGCAGGACCTGGCTGAGTATCAGGCTGAACAGGGAGATATCGAGATTGGAGAGATTGGCGACAGGACGAATGTTGTGCAGGAGGGTGGTGAAGAGCCTCAGGTACAGTCTACCAAGGGCAAAGACAAGAAGAGGACGAATGCGCAAGTGGAGGAGCAGGGGCCCGCGGATGGCGCGATAGACAAGGACGCGAGGAAGAGGGCGAAGAAAGAACGAGACCAGCAGAGGAAGAAGGAAAAGGCCGCGAAGGGCAAGTCAAAGGAGTAAAGGTGTCACATCTCACGATCTGGAAAAGATACATGGTGGGAAACGACTCTGACGGACGCCTCGGCCATTGCATTTGGGCTGTATTCTACGAACTTTTCGTCGCACTTGCGACCCTGCGCGGTCAAGTTCCCATGACCTTTTATACCCGATATTGTACAAAATCCGATCGAGATGCACGCCTAGAGTTCCCGATCCGCTGCCTTGATAGGCTTCTCCTCGTCCGCCGCCTTGTCCTCCGAGACCTTCTTGTCGCCAGTCCAGTTCATAGCCTTGAGGCGCTCCGTCAGGATGGGGTGGGAGTGGTGGAAGCTGGAATAGAACCAGTCGGCATCCATGCTTGACAGGTTCTGGATCTGGAGCTTGATCAATGAGGCACCGAGTTCGCGTGCATATCCGAGCTTGACGGCGAAGGCATCTGGGTGTTGTTAGCATTGGCTGGGACATGGATTGGGACCAGGATACATACCGGCTTCGTACTCCATGCTGCGAGTCCAGATGTTGAGGAGGAGCTTGATGATGGAGTCCGTGGGCGACAGGATCTCGTTGAAGAGCATGAAGCCAACAATTGTCGGCTGCTCCCTGTGGAAACCAAAGTCGGCGTAGAGCGAGCGATTGTCGATGAAGACGGAGAACAGGGCGAACATGTAGAATAGATGCGCCTGGCTAATGAAAAGAAGTCGCGAAGTGTGGTTCATCTTCCAGTGTCCCAGTTCGTGTGCCAGGACAGCTTCAACCTCCTTCTCCGTGCTCTTCTCCAGCAGTGTGTCGTAGATGACAATCTTCTTCTTGCCGATCCAGGGTAGTCCAGTGAAGTATGCGTTGCTGTGGGCGCTGCGCTTACTGCCGTCGATGACCTGTAGTTCCGAGAGCGGGAAGTTGAGCTTAGACGCAAGCGCCTCGACAGACTCCTTGAGCTTGCCGGGCTTGAGCGGCTCCAGCTTGTTGAACATGGGCACAATGAGGATCGGGTAGATGGTCATGCCAGTGATCTGGATAACCAGCATGAACATCCACAGGTAGTAGAAGAAACCCTGGCCTGTCTTCTTGATGATGGCCAAGAAGGCGCTTCCAATGGGAATACCGAAGGCAATAGCGAGAGCCTGGCCCTTGATCATGTCCGTGAGCCAGAGCTTGACCGTCATCTTGTTGAAGCCAAACTTCTCCTCCAGCACGAAGCTGTGGTAGTAGGAGAAGCCGAGGCCGGTGATCAGATCGATCCACCCCAACATGTACATGAACAAGAGCGACTGGGGAATTTCACCAGAGAAGCGGACGGGCGCATAGCGAGCGACGACGGTGCCGGCGGCTGCCCAGACGAGCGGGTATACGTTGAAGTAGAGGACGGCGAGGGATTTGACCTGGTTGAAGAGAGCGGAGAAGAAGCTGAACTTGGCTTTGGCGCGGCCATATTCCTGTCATCGAGTCAGCGCTGGTAAGCATGGCAGGGTTGCTGCAATTGTGCGCGTACCTGAGATTTATCGAACGTCTCCCGTTCAATTTCCTTATCGAGAGCCTTGGGGACGGTGGTGCGCTGGAGGACACGGTACTGGCGAAAGAGAAGCCAGTTCTCCAGGGCGAACTCTGCGAGCGAGAAGCCGACAACGAGGCGCTTCCATGGAAAGAGCGGCCGGTCGAGCCAGCGGCCCAGGCGCTGCATCATGTTAGTCATGGTAGCCTCGGTTTATTTGTGTGCGCACTAACCTGAAGGATTGCCTGGATCATGGCGGTGGTGGTGAATGTTGGTTGCAGGCAGACACGCGAGGACAGATCAATGTTCATGTTCCGCGTCAGCACTCCAGGGCTAGCGCCAGGCAGGGTTCAACCACAGTACGTCACAGGGCTAGGTATTGTTCTTCTCTTTCATCCCGTCTTTCTCTGCGCGCCCTCTCTCAGAACAAATCTATACCCCTTCTAGTCTTTCTTTCTATGATTTCGTGCCACGACGACACGCTATATCACTTGGCGACAATCACGGATGTATCCCAAGATGATGCGCCTTCACGCGCGCGCGTTTGCTCGACACGTTACTCTACAAGATAATGCCACCTTAGCTCTGGCCTTGCTGTTTACGCCAGCAGGCCCAAAATAACATGCGTGAACCACCCTCGCTCAACGGGTCTGACCAGAGGAATGGATTCTACATCTATGACTTCAGTCATTCATCACTGTCAGGGAGACTGCAGAAGTAGACGTTCGAGGTGAGCCCCAACGCGCTTGCCTTCGCAGCTGCGCGGTGAGAGGAAGGCGCAAGGCGTGACTGAACGTAATTTCGTTACACTCTGAGCGAGCACCCAAACAAGCAACTGAACATCTAGACCTTCACTGCAACCAAATCCAGTCTCGTCCCCGCAGCTACACTAACCCCACGCGCGACTACCACGGTTCCGAACATAGCGCGGTATGAAGCGTCAGAGCAGCATCTTCCGCGCCAAGCGACTGTCGAAAGCCTTTACATCGACACTGACTAGCGTCTTCGAAAAGGCCGATTCGAGAAAAGGCACCACGACAACAGCGCATCATCTCCTCTCGCCGATAGCCGAACGACACTCAAAGGAAAGCTCTAGGCCAGGAAGCGTACAGGAAGATTTCGACTCCGCGATCCCTGCGGAAGCACCCACCGAGTATTATATAATACAGGAGAACAAGTATCCTGCTCTGCGGGCCTTGCGGAGCGATGCAGAGATCGGGGACGGAATATGGAGATGCTGTCACTGTCGTCATGAGAACGTCGTTACGCACTACAAAGGCGCGTTTCCTTTCAAACATCTGGTATGCAGTCGCTGCAACGAGATACTGTGTTCTCAGTGTCACTCATCCGAGATTCTATCACCTCTACCGTACGGCATGATTCAAGCACCACGGCCACGCCTCGATCGCGAAGTTCGCTATTTCCATATCTGCACTACCTGCGGACTGAGTCATCGCGCCGAGATGGAAGGTACGACCCTGGACTTTTATGGTGTCAAGTGTGCGGCTTGCGGAAGCACTTCATACGGTGACTGGCCACGCTACCATATCGGTAACAACGAGCCGTATAGGAGGGATCCGGATGCGAGCTTTGTCAAACTCATCGATGCAAGAGCTGATGATGCGACGAGGCTTACTTTTCGGTGGATCATTGCGAACGAGGATGGGCCATCATCGGGACTGAGTTGCAGAAATCCAGGATGATGTTCACGACTGGCTGGATATCATTGGAGGAGGCGATAATCCCATCACGTCAATGGCTGCCTTCGTGAGCTTTGATCTGAACCATTGCCATACGCATAAGACAGCGATACGTTGAGAGACATGCAAGTGATGTTTACTTTATCTACTGATACTGTCTCAAGTAAGTCGTCTTACTATCACCATCTCATATCTCATCGTGTACTTATAGAGAGTACTGATCCATCACATTTCCCGGTACTTCGTTATATATGTCAAATCCATCGTCTATATACTTACAGTGATGCGCAGCCGACCATAGTGATGATAGAGTGTAGCAGCAGCACAACTATTTCTTTGTTGCATTGTTTCTTCCATGGCCGGGCATGCAGCCTACCAACAACCCGAATATTTACTCGCTTTCACAACAGCCCAAGATACAATGGGATTGAACCATTTCACAACGATTTCCATGCGGAGACTCTCATTAGAGAGAGTCGCAAAGGCTGTCAAAGCCGTCAACCCTTTCAGGCTCTTGAAGCGAAGCCCACATAGACATCTCAACAAGGATGTCCACTTCCAATACGACCGTACCGCAGACGGTGTCTGGGCCCCTAGCTGTGGCCACGACATGAAACTATACCATTTCGCAGGACCACATCCCTTCAAGTATGTTAAATGCCATTGCGAACGCATACTGTGTCCCGATGATCGTACCTCCGAGATCTTGACTCCAGTACCCTCACTGAAGTTGGAGGTTTACGAGGAACGTTTCGAAGGCCAGAGGAGGGTAAAAGAGAGCAGATACTGCCAATTATGTCGAGCATGCGGTCTCACACATCGTGGAAATATCGGCAGAGGTCGCATTGAGTTTCCAACAATGCCATGCGTCTGCGGCCAGATCTCTAGCGAAGAGCCAATGTACTTCTATATCGGCGATAACGCTGCGTATCAGAACGATGCCGATGCCGTCACGGTAGATGTCCGCCTCACGCAAAGACTGGATGCATCCCAACGGTGTAAGAGCAACAGGATTCCTCTCGCCGATTGGGTTCCTTCATCCCCTGGTGAGATTCAGAAGTTTCGTCTGGCACTCGTTAAGGGAAGACCAACTCACGTCCGAGACGCTTCAAAGCCGGAGATCAAGCGTAGTAAACGCCCCAAGCGACGAGCAGATGAATCCACAGCTTATATGTTGAAGCCAGATCCAGATTGGGATGTCCGCGTCGATGTCTCGTGGTTTCCAGATTGAGCGGACGGAGCGCGTGATGCTAGATTCGTGCATCCGTTTTCTCGTCCATAGTCATTCTGCTATCGAGCAGCGTCTACTAATATACCTGCCACTCACATCTTCTCAATGTTTCATGTTTGCAAGAAAGAAGACGTAATCTATAGCTCTACACTGCGCGCCGGCCAGAATATCTAATATTCGTATATACACAGCTCCCTTGTACATAGGCAACACAGACCTCAGAGTCAGCAGAGACCCAATGCATGACTGCATCCAACAAGATCACTAGACACTGTGAAACACATGGCAAACAACGTCTATTGAAGGCTCGACTGGATATATATAACCTCATCCGCCACTCCCATCCGGACCTCACAAGAGAGTCTAGAAATATCAAGCAGTAGGAACAGACGGAAGAAAATGACGAACCGCGAGCGATCCACATCGTTGGGTGGAGGCGCATTCAAGATAGTGCGCAAACAACAAGGTTGGACAGGCAGTATATACCATGACATTGTCCCGAAGTCGCCTGATAAGCCTTATGAGCCTGTAGCTGGCTGGCGTAGACACAAGGAAGATGGCGTGTGGCTATGTTGTAAGGGCCACGCTGACAACGAAAACCTCGTAACACATCGTCACGGCGCGTTTCCGTTCAACCGTCTGGAATGCACAAGGTGCGATCACATCTTCTGCCCGGAATGTTCCAGCTCGGCGGTCCTTAAACAAGTTCATTCATCACATCTGGATGCGTTTCAGGAGCCCTCTTCAGCGACCGCTGGGTTGGTCCCCTATTGTCGACTATGCCGCGCGTGCGGGAGGACGCAGCGGGGTGTCGTGAAGAAGGGTCGTCTCGAATTTGCTATTTCTTGTCCGTGCGGTAAGGCTACCGTGTACGACGACGAACGCATAGACTTCTTCATCGGCTCAAATGAGAAGTACCAAGAGGATAAGGAAGGTGTCACTGTACAGTTGAGAATCGATCATCGCCTTGGCGCTCATCAACGTGTTAAGAAGGAACGGCGCGTAGAGTTTGATGAGAAGACTTCGCGGGGCTCTGTCCAGCCGCCAAAAGTCGCCGTATCTAAAGAGACCCGCGAGGTACCTGATCAAGCGATGGACGCAGGCCCGCGTCAATCCACGAGAAAGGATGTACCAAAAAGGTCTCGTGGGGGACCTCAACTGACGGTGGATACCAAAGATTGGCATGAGCATCAGCCATGGCCTGAGAATACGAGGTTCAAAACACTGCCGCAGGGCGGGTTCGTCCTGGACGCAGATTTTGAGGGCTCTGGTCTATCGCCATCAAGTATTGCCTGTAATTCGGAGACGTCTTTACTGCGGTAAGATGACTGATGTACCCTGCGCGTCTCTCTCTTCCTCCTAAATTCTAATGCAAATGATCTGATCTTATTAAAAGTCCGAGTACTCGTTCTGAACTCGTGGTTCGCTTGTTGTGTTATCTGATAATGAAGTGTCGTCATATTTTCCGTTGTTTGTAGTCAGAGATTTCCGTCGCCATGGTGAAGGCAGAGGCAACAACAAGAGCAAAGTCGCGCCGTAATCACCACTTCAGTTAACACTACCAATCGCCCGGAAACCAATTACGATGTCTAAGATACCGCGACAATTGTTGCTGCCCGGAGGCAAGCGGGTGATCGATGAACGATATGCTGAACATCGACACCGCTTGATCGGTATGCTGAGAGACTACCTGGCCGGTTTGAGAGCGAGCCCGGTAACCTCACCCGGGTTTCGTATCCATCGCGCCTCGCGCATGCTCCAGGGTAAAGTAGCCGTCACGAATAGCTCTCAAGATGTCTTGCTAACTTATGACTAGTATGTAGCTCCCTTGCGGTGCTAAGACATCTTACTATTCGTGCTAACAGCTTGATAGCAGATCTTCTACGCCTACCGCGAAGTTACATGGAGCCGGTTTTGCGCCAAAATCTCCCTTCCAACATTCTATGACGGCCTCACCATCATCACAGACGACCCAAAGAAGCTCGGGCGGAAGAACGGCTGGTTTGCAGACTTCCCTCAGCAGTACTTCGTTGGAAATCCTGAGGCCAAGAGCAAGGTGCTGGTGATTTCGCCGTGTCACGACATTGGCGTTCTGAAGAAGCTCATTGAGCAGCTGTTCGCAGGTAAGACCCAGGGATCATTTGGATCAGACGGAGAATGTTAACTAGTAGACAACCAGGCCTCGACGTAGACATCGACGAAGTCAAAGTCCGCCTCAAGACGCCCAAAGAAAAAGCCATCACAGCTACGGACGAGCCTTTCGATTTCGAAAACCCAACCCCTAATGTGTACATCCACTGGTGCATGCGCGTCACCCACAGACCCACGGGAGAACAGACGTCGCTCGATATCTCCGGCGTGCAGTACGGAATGATTCAGGGCGACATGCCATGGCAGCCACACACAGACATCTTCGTCGACGAGGTCCAGGCCATCAAACCGCTGGGTACACTTGCGAAGTACGCAGATGAAGTGTCACAAACCAAGGGTACGGAGGGATTGCGATTCGAAGTTGCGGCGAGTGCAATGAAGGCGTGGCACGAGACTGTCGATGCGGCGATGGAGCGCAAAGGGTTGACATGGGCGGATGTACTAGGCAAGGAAGAAGAAGCTTTCCAGCGACATACGAAGAAGATCTTGAGCGTGGGCACAAAGGCTATGCAGAAGTATGCCGCGGAGACGAAGCTGACGAAGAAGAGGCTCAAGGCGGAGAGGTATGAGCAGAGGCATGAAGATTGGTTGATGGGAGAGCTCAAGGAGCTGGAGAAGCTGTATTTGGAATAGAGTAGGGAGTGCGCTTCTGGGCTCTGTGGGTTGACGCGACCTCGGGAGAAGATAAGTTGGGGTTGCACGAGTCCGAGAATCACATCGCAGCATGCCAGTAGATGGTGGCAATGCGACTGATAGCTCGACAAAAGGCCATAATTACTGCGTTTAGCAAACAAATACTACCCCCCTTATAATGTCTGTGTGTTGAAAGCGTTCCAGGTCCAGAGGAAGGGAAACTGTGTTCAGACGCACAATCACATGTTGTGCATGACTCGGGCGTGTGACGTACGGTTCCGGACCGGCTGCGCCACACTCCGGGTGGCAAACCACGCTCCCCTTAAGATATACCTCTCGTCTCCACACTCTCCACCTCCAGCACCTAAACCATACACCTACATACACATACACATAAACCCTCAAACCGCAATCATGGACGAAGACCTCATCGCATTCGGCATCGTAATGCTGCTCTTCCTCTCCTTCCCCTTCCTCACGGTCCTCAGCATCACCGGCTGCGTCGCCTACTCGCGCACCAAGACGTGGGACAAGGCGCGCAACCAGCGTGCAGTCAGCCTCGAGTCCTCCAACGGAGAAACCAACCGCTTAGTCTCTGACGAGGCCGACGAAGAATCCGACTTCTACGACACCGACGACGAGGAGGAGCACACCAAGGCCAAGGCGGAAGAGGAGGCCGACAAGTACCTTACCTTCAACCAGAAGTTCCGCAAGGAGTTCAAGAAGGTCTGGTCGGGTAAGGGCAAGGGCGACATCCTGAAGCAGAAGGAGCGCGAGGAGCGCAGGAAGCTGGCCAAAGCGGTGGCAAGGGAGATGGACCGCAGGGAGAGGAGGAAGGCGAGGGCTGCTGCCAAGGCACAGTCTGAGGACTTACCGGCATACACCAAGGCGTAGTAGGACTACGTCAGTCCGATCTTCTCACGGAGCAGCAAGAAGTGCTGTGATGCGATGATGCAGACGGACACCTTTCTCTCTTGGCCCTTAAATTGATACCCCGAATTAAACATATTACCTCAGCATTTCTTCCACGACAGATTAAGTATCTGGCCGAACCCAGCATCCACCGAACTCCCCTGCACGTAACCGTTTTTGTTCGACGTACCCGAATCCACCGTCGCAGAGAGACTAATCTGAATTCTCGCATCCTTCTTCTGGCACACCGACGCCTCCGTATCTGATATCTCACCGTCCTTGTGCAACAGGAAGTCTTCTTCGAATGGCCCTGTTACAATCTTATGAATGTTGCCCTATCCTTCAAGTCAGTACCCCTAACAATTTCAGCCGCCATAACCACGTACCTTGCCCTTCATATCCACGCCATTCACATCGATCCACTTCCACCGGCTGACCAAACTAGCCTCAACCCCCTTCTCAATATACACATAGCCTCGGAAATCAGCCGAGCTAACATCGAACGCCCACCCCGGCGAGTTCATGCCTATATTCACTCTGCAGAAGGCGCGCGTCTTTGCAGTCCCTGCTTTTGGTCCGTCGGAAGCGGCGAAGTTGTCGAAGATGATGGTTAAAGCGGAGTTGTCGGAGGCGAGCATGACGCTGGCGTCGCCGGGCCTGCAGCCACTTCCATCGAGGTCGATGTCTAGGCTTGTCAGGGAGACGGCGCCTTTGGGTGGGAGGGCGGCTGCGGCGAATGTGGTGAAGAGAGCGAGTAAGAATGAGAGCATGAGTGACGGCATGGTGTGTTGAGACTACAAAGAGGAAGACATTAGGCTAGAAACTTTCACGTCTTATGCTCTTCTTCAACCATCCTTTTCCTGCCTAGTAGACCAAATACCGCCTTTTCTTGCCGTGATCGTGGCACTTCGACATCAATTCTTCGGTTGCGGCTGAAGGTGCCGTCAGGTCAGATCCCAATATGTAGTACCATGCTGCAATTGGCATTACACTTGCCTACATATAGGAGCTATATATAACGAGCCGCTAGGATCGCTGTCAAAACGGGTTAGGTCAGGGCTCAGCCTGGGTTTCAACGACCCGACAGACTGTTCGAAAGTAAGGCAGGATTTAGCCTATGTGACACGCGCTTCCCACGATATAAGTCAACGCGCATCGTATATTGCTTACGTTGCACGAACCGAAACGACAATTGCTGATCTCTTAGACTGCTTTGAAAATCGATAGACCGGGCTGTATAGTTGTGTTGGGGATGGAGCGCGAGAGGAATTTGTGCTTCACTCATTACGTACAGAAAATGACTTGAACGTCTGCCGTAGACGTACAACGCTTTGAATACATGGATATCACTAGAATACTTCTTACAATTAAACAGCCTCAGTCCGCTGCACAGGCGCCTTCTCGTGGTGCTCACTCTCGTAATCGGCGTTCTTCCCATCTGCCTGCACAATGAACTCTTCGCGCTTCTCAAAACCAAACAACTGATCCATCTGATCCATGCGCAGTCCTTTGGTGTCGTGGATGAAGAAGAAGGCGTAGATACTAGCGCAAATAAGCGCGGTGGCGAAGAAGACGTATACGCCCCATTCCATCGAGGTGTACATTTGCGGCAAGGCCTAAAACTAGATTAGTATATCTATTACGTGCGACTGATAGGTGCTTACCTTGGTGACTACCAGAGTCCATATCCATACGGATGCTGCTGCCCATGGTCCCGATATAGAGCGCATAGATGCGGGGAAGATTTCGCTAGAGATGATCCACGGAAGGCCGTTCGCACCGAATGACCAGGCAGCACCAAAGATCATGATCATAGCGGTTGCAGCTTTGCCACCAGCGACTGTAGACTCGGACATGGGCTCGCCCACTGTCGGCTTTCCTAGTGCGATGTAGACGGCGAGGTAGTACTGGCAGAAAGCACAGATCAAGGAGGAGATGATCCAAGGCCACTTGCGTCCAAACATGTCGATGAACCAGGTGAAGAAGATGATGGAACCTCCAGCTTTGATTATTCCGTAGATACCGGTCCAGAGAGTTACGTCGGACAATCCGATGGATGTAAAGATGGTTGGAGAGTAGTAGTTGATTGCCGCGGCACCACTCCAAGCTTGCCACATGAACATGAGGAATACCAAGAGGAATCTGTTTCGCATTCCTGGCATGGCTCCTTCGCGTGCTGCGGCTTTGATCGTTGTGAGGAAGCTAGCGTGCGCCTCGCCATGTAGAAGTGCGGCACGCTCTTTTGCAATCTCATTTCGCACGTATTGAACATCCTGGGCAATGTATGGATGGTCTTCGGGTAGGTTACGGAAGTAGCTCCACGACTTCAAGGCCTCAGCCTCGCGACCGCGTTTCAGCAGCCAGGTAGGAGACTCCTTCAGAACCGGTATCATGAGAGCTAGCAGTCCAGCAGGGATGAGCTGAACAGCCATCGGCACTCTCCAAGCGATGGATTTCGATCGGTCCATATTGTGTACAATGCCGTAGTTGATCCAGAATCCGATAACGGCACCCGTTTGGTAGAAAGATTCGAAGAACCCAGTGAGGCGTCCACGAATAGCAGGAGGCGAGATCTCGGCGATGTAGATGGGCGACACAGCGGCTATTCCTCCTACACCCATGCCAGTGAAGAATCGGCCGGCGAGGACAAGACTCAATTGGTTCTTGGGGACTAAAGTGCACTATTAGTACTGGCACATGGATGAGGTTAATGAAGCATGCTTACCAGTGCACATGATCGCGCCAACGATGAAGATGGCATCGGAGATGATGACTGTCGCACGGCGACCAAGGAGCTCAAGGAATGGGTACATAAGCAGCGCTCCTACGAGTCCTCCAGCCGAATATATGGAGGTGATGTTGCTGGTGATCTCGTTTTTGTTCGATGCATTGATGCCAAAGTCTCGTTGGAAGGACTCCTGGGCAATGGTAGTGCCGATAAAGGCAGAGTCGTAACCATAAGCCAAAACGCCCATTGAGATCACGAGCGCGGCCATGTAGACCCTCCAGTTGTACTATAGACTACATTAGCACCTTATCATCTCACCATTGCTCAGCACAGGAACTTACAACTTCCGGAGGCGTTGGCCTGTCTTCGGGGGCGCGAGCAAAACCACCCATGATGACTATTCACCAGAACAAACAATGTTCAAGTTACCGGACGGGTGTTGAAGCTGCAAAGTTCTGCAGTAGTCTTGATGCCGATCCCAAACCTGGGGCTCCCACGTTCTTTTGAACCAAACGCGCTTCCCCACAAAACACCCAGGCCATTCCGGGACGGAGAAGCAGGTTGCCACATCCGACCACGACCTTCCCCAGTGGAGTCTCCAGAGATGGCGCACCCTCGTCGCGTGGGTTCGGTGGCGTGGTGTGGGAGCTCGTGGGCCTAGTGCAGCCGACACGCGAAGCTGGCGATGCGAGCGTCGGCAGCCCAACGTCACCGTCGCGGTCGTAGCCGACGGCGAATCGCGCACCTTGAGAGCCGATGGAACATCCACACGTCTCCACGCCGAAGCGCGTCTTCTCGCATACTCCATCGTACTACCGGAACGCGTCGCGCAGTCGTGGATGCCAAAATGCGGCGGTTTCGCTCTGCTGCAGAGATGTCCTCCACATTCGGTTCCCCTCTGTACCTGCTCATCTCTTGACATCCTCACAAAATGCCTTCCGCAAACGGCACCAACGGCACAACAACATACTCCTTCCCACCGGGAATCCATGTCCCCTCATTGACCTGGTTCAAGAATGACACCAAGCAAGAGATTGATTGGGATGTCCAAGAAAAGCATTTCGAGTTCTTGATTTCCAACGGTCTGCACGGCATCGTCATCGCAGGAACAAATGGCGAAGCAGCAACATTATCCTCAGTCGAGAAGACGCAACTCGTCCAGACCGCTCGCAAGACGGCACAGCGCCTCGGTCGGGGACACCTACCCATCACCATCGGAGGCGTAGCAGGTTGCACACGCGACGCGATACAGCAAACCGCCGAAGCAAAAGAAGCAGGCGCATCATACTACCTCGCACTGGTACCCTCCTACTTCCACTTCTCCATGAACCAAGATGCCATCGTAGCCTACTTCCAGGAACTAGCCGACGCATCCCCCGTCCCCATCGTCCTGTACAACTTCCCCAATGTCGTAGCCGGGCTCGACATCAACTCCGAGATGCTGGATATCCTCGGCAAGCACAAGAACATTGTAGCCGTCAAGCTCACGTGCGGAGGCATCGCAAAGGTTGCGAGGATTAGTGCTGCGTTCGACAAGTCGGAGTTTGTTGCGCTGGCCGGTCAGAGCGACTGGCTTGTACCCGCGCTGAGTGTGGGTGGAATCGGCACCATTACTGGTGTCGCGAACTTGTACCCCAAGGTATGTACTATAGCCAACGTTTTGCGTGTCTTGGAAGCTAACAGATTAGTCCTGCATACACCTGTTCAACCTGTACCAATCAGGCAAGCACGACGAAGCATCAGCCCTCCAGATCAAGCTCTCGGTCACAGAATGGGGTTTCGGAAAGGGCGGCATCAACGGCACCAAGTACGTCGTTGCGCATAAAAGGGGATACCCGGAGAGCAGCGCGGACTGCCGTAGGCCTTACCCACGATACACAGATGAGGAGAAGAGGAAATGGGTCGTGAACCAGGTGTCAGGTCTTGATGAGCTGGAAGCATCGCTATAGAATGCTGCTTCGCAATGAAGAATTGAAATGACAAAGTGCTTCCCTTCGGACATCTGAAGTCTTCGTGGCGCCGACAAAGCCCTTCTCTCAATCGTTGTGTTGTCACCTCAAAACGCCCATTGCTCTCGAAGATCCCTCAAGACGCCATCCGTCCTCCACCCTATTAGTCTCTGCAACTGTTCCAGATACTCCACACAAGCCTGCTGCTCCCTTGGATCAATAATATAAGCTCCGCACGCACTCAAAATGTGACTACCCTGGAACATAGCATTACCACAATGACTGTTACTCACACCATACCCTATCGTTATCCTCATGTGCTTGCGAACAGCCGCGTCGGTAGATTTCCTAGCCCGAACACCTGCCAACCCAACTAATGACGCGTTAGGCGAGTATATCGTGAGCAGTATCTTGCAAAGGTGGTAATACTGCAGCCCGACTGCCACGATCCCCTGCGGACAGAGCAGTTCAGGCCAGCTTCCCTCAAACTTATCACCCGCATCGGGTTCGACGTGGAAAGCCGAGAACGTCCAAGGCTTCGTGCGCTCCCATTCCTCGACTTCATCGTTCAATTCTTTCCATGTTTCGCGGCTGATGTTTTCGCTGCCATTGTTTGTGCCTCCGAAGACAGTTTGTAGGACGACGGCGAACAGGAATATGATGCGATTCGCCCAGCTTTCGTCGTCAAACTCGCTGAAGACAGCTGAGTGGCGGTAGTTGTCGAGGCTTAGGTTGAGTGGCTTTTGTGTTGTGAGAGAGACGTAGATGTGTTGGCGGAGAGAAACCCAGGATGCTGATTCGCGGAGGCCACCGTCTGCGGCGAAGGAGGAGATACTGTTTAGTATACGGGCGGTACCCTGTGATCATCATGTGGTCAGGAAAAATACACAGTCAAGCTCAAGGGCGAGAGAACGTACGAGGTGGTGGCAGTGTTCGTCGGCATCGCCCATCTCTTCGTGAAGCCGAAGCAGGATAACGGCTATGAGGAAGTTCTCATCCCAATGTGCCAGCGGGTCCTCAAGTGCTACGATTAGCGCCTGTAAGCACTGATCTACATAAGGTTGCGACACGTCTTCTACGGCCTTGCCCATCAGCCAGGAGTGTCTTGCAGCAACACCCAGTATGCCATTGAGGATGACGGGGAAGTGGGCTGCGCGTTTTGGTACCTCAGTAGCAAAGTGCCGCCGTGAGTCACACACATCGATCCACGAGGTGCAAAAGAAGAGGTAATGATGGAGGAGACGGGCTTCGTGTGCGTTGTTCACGGGCCACCTGAGTGTTGGCGCTGAGGACGGACTGAATGCCGTGGAATTATAAGGAGACTGATTATTGTTGATCGATCCGAAAGGGCTCTTCTTCGATAGACTCGGGGACTGTGACAGACGTTGAAGTGATCCGGGGCTTGCCTGCCAGTTTGTGTTTACTATCTGACTTATCGAAGACACGGCGCGAATGCTTTGCGGCGCACTATTACTGGTACAGGTCGTGATACCGATTAGAGACGGTGGGACCTGAGTGTTCAGGACCTCGTGGATGGAAGGCAACTCGCTAGTGTCGTTGAGGTCCGAGGTTGGAAGGTCCACGAACGAGGTTAGGTCACCGTACGTCGACGCCAGTTGGCTTTCGCTAGACACTCTGTTCAAATTTGAGTTTTGCCGGCGGGCTTTTGATGCAACGTCGAGAGTGTTGGGCGTGCTTTCGGGATTCGCTTCGCTTTCCGGCCCAGCTTCGTACTCTTCTTCGTCACCGCTGTCCTTGTTCGGCTCAACAAAGTGCACTACACCACGTTTCATCAGCGATTATCGCTATTTATGAATTGTTTTCTACGCACATGAGCTTGGAATATCAACCCACTGCTGTCCCACTTGGAACTCAAGGGACTGTTCAGCGGATCCTATGTCTTCGCCGGCGTTGAACTTGACCGCCGTAACAGGTCGGAAGCGAAAAGCATTGCCGCGAATGCATGGCTTTTTGCGCTCGGTGCAGTATTTGCATTTTTCCGAGTCACGCAGCTTCACGCCTATAAATTCCTACATTAAGCGTTTGGATGGCATTGGATTGTAAGAGCCCGTACATTTGATGTGACGCTCACGACAAGCTTTGCTGTTCAGGAATCAGCAACATTCTACCTGCGGGCAATCCCGCGGCTTTGACTAACCATCCGCTTCTCTGTCTCATCGTGAGGTCGGAGGCCCGAGGACTATGAACGATGGAGTTGCTACGTTGAGCCGGGAAATCGATCCCATCTTGTCGGTTTTCCTTTCGGGTCACTTACCCCGCCCGCTTCGTATGCAACGTCCTAAGTCTGGAAGCTTGCGGGGCATCTTCCGATGGAGGAAAGCTTGGAACGTAATGCGCAGTTTGATTGGTATAGGTCTGAGCCGGAAATGACAAGTATACGCGCATTGACCTGTAAATGGCAAAGCTTCCCGTATCCTCTTACGCCGAGATTGTCGCTCGATACCTGCAAAAAACTGACATAATCGCGACTGACACTCGGTCGCGTGTTTCTGGTGAGCGACAATGTGCGTGTTGGAGCTTGACTGAACATTACACGATCGCGAAATGGTTTGATGATGCGAAATACTCCTGGCTGACCAAACGCACGTCGACTCTTCGCTTGCCTTCATCCTGCCGTCGTTGCACTTCTTCCAATAGGTCTGCGGTAGCTTTTGCGTTGGTAGCGATGCTCTCGAGGCTGCGGATGGCTTCAATGATCCATCTTCGTTCATCCAAGTCGTCTTCTTCGCACCCCCACATCATCAGTGGCCACAAGACATTGACCGGCAACGACTCATCTGCCTGCGCCATCAGATGTGTCAGACGCTTTATATTCATTATGGCATTTATCACATCCTTGGTTTTTGGGTACTGCACGTATGCAACGCGATGTAAGTGTATGAACGATGCGTAGTAGTTTGCGAGATAGGTCCGGAAACTCCGTGTGAGTGCGCCTGCTAAGTTTTTGGCTATGTGTTTTTCGGTGAGGTTTCCAGCAACCGCATGATCCATCAATGCTGGCCGCTGGCCGTAAAGTGCATGTAGATCCTTGGAGATTTGTGCTGCGATGGCCATGACTTCAGTCTCATCCTGAACCGTGCCCCGTGTGCGACGCCACGGGTCAATGCGTGTGATGCGACCGGCGAAGGACTGCACCTTCTGATAGAACATGATACCGGGATGATATAACACGTCAAACAGAATTTCCTCGATTTCGGTGTCCGACGTGTCCGGATCTGATCCGGGATTGGCCGCAGGCGACGCATCAAAGATGGTCTCGTCTGTGTCAGCCAAGAAGAGACCTTCTCCACCTGCTGTTGACACAGCGCGCGCGTCAAGTAGGCGCATCCATGAGATGAGTCGACGTTCCGGTGCTGAGAAGGTGGTCTTGCTGGCACTCTTTATAAGTGTATAGGCCTCGCGTAAGTTCGTATGGGCTCGTGGCAGCATTTCCGTAAGAAGATCGGTATAGGTAAGTAGGAAAAGAGCAGCGAGCATGTGTCTGAGGTCACTGTCCTCGACTACCCGCGTCGTTGCTAGGCAATTCGCTACCTGTCTGGATGCGGTATCATACAAAGGCCTCCAGTCTGCCTTGGCCATGTCGTTGCCCAGCCCACTGCGCTGCATCTGCATCGCGGCGAAAGCCATGATGGCACTCTTGACGATGGGTGACTCTCCAGCCAGAGTGGCAAAGAATGCCCGAGTAGATGCCCATTTGGGACCAATTTCCACCGGTGTCAGGATGGGTGGCATGAGCATCTGGAGGAATGTGTGCAAGAGATAATCTTCGTTCGGTCCATTCGACGCGCCCTCGGTAGAGAACGGAGAGGTCGAAGCTGGATCAGGCTGGTGAAGTCTACGCTCTGGCAGCTCATGCACTTCATTGCTCGCAGAAGATGTTACTCCCAGGGTCTGACTTGAAGATCTATGAGGCGGTCGGGACTGGTGGATGGACTGCGAAACCGGGTCCGAATGTGTTGCTACGCTCGCGAAAGACCCGGTGTCAGTTGGCCATGAGCTGGGACTCAACAGCATGGCTTCGTCCCAGGTACCCAAGCTCAATGGCCCAGATAGATCAAAACCAAACCCATACCCTTCCAAGGGTAGTGGACCAGAAAAGAAGGGCTGGTGCTGGCCAGTGCTGAATGAATGGGATGGATTGGTAGTGCTACGAGCCGGCGTGCGGTTCCAAGTGCAATCGAGATTCAGTCTTTCGCAGTGTCCACATCTGGGCCTCTGCTCATTACATCGCACTTTCCGCCTCCTATGTCGATGAGCGTTGGTGGGGAGTAACGAAGAGTTTCCGCGTACCTGCACGCATTGCAGCCGTTTTTTGAACGCGCAGGGCGAGGTTGGGCTGGCGAGGGTTCAGACACGGGCGCCGAAGGCACCAAGGGTGCCTGATTTGGTACAGGCGGCTGCGACATAAGCGATGATGGTTTCTCGATTCGAGATGGAGATGAATCTGATTGCGATGACTAGGGTATGTAGAACCGTTTATGTATGCTGCACAGCGAAGTAGTAGTATGTGTGTGGGGGCCAATCAGCTCAGGCGCTATCTCGGTGTTTATGCGCAGGTGGAGCAAAGGAACGGTCGCGGCGCACGCCTGATCGAGATTTGCGCATCGTCACTGTGACACCTGGGCACTAGATACACTCAGTAATATGGGCTTCACCGTTGCGATGCGGACGGTTTGCGATAACCCCTTGCATTTGACGATTTCCGCAGATCTATGAAGCTCCAAACACCTCTACTCTTACCTAGTCGATGTCCGCTCCCGTCGCCAAATCTTCACAGGCATCTCCCCCAGGATCCAGTTCATCGTCTCCAGCCGCTGAAGCTCCCAATTCGGACTACTCAGCGCAAAATCATACCGCCTCAACACACTCGCCAAAACCACCGTCTGCTCTAGGTACGAGATGTTGCGTCCGATACAGCCTCTTGCACCCGCCGAGAAGGCCAGGAAGTAAGGCTGCAAGGCCTTGCCTTCTTCACCCAACCAGCGCTCCGGTATAAACTTGTCGGCGTGCGGGAACACGGATTCCTGCCGATGTGCAACATATGCAGACATGGCGACGGAGACTCCGCCCGGAATGTAGTCACCAAGGATGTTGACGCCCTCGGCTGGCGTCTGTCGCGGGAGTCCATGGGGTGTTGGTGGGAAGAGCCGGAGCGATTCGTCGAGGCATGCACGGAGATATGGTAGGTGTTTTACCCTGTCGTAAGCGACGACTCCATCCCCTTCCTCCTCCTCGTCTTCCAGTGCCGAATCGATCTCTTGCACTAACTTCATCTTGATATCTGGGTGCTTGATCAATTGGTACATGACGTTGGCCATCGCAATCGCTGTCGTAGCTGATCCGGCGTTCATCATGATGCTCACTTCCGCGATGATCTCGCCCCATTCCAGATTGTTCGGATGGCCGTTCTTGTCTTCCATCAGCGTTTGGAAGAAGTCGTCGAGCTTCTCCCCTGCTCTGTACCGCTCCAGACGCTTGTGGGCGAGTTGAACCGGTACGCCCTCCCATTCGTTTGCGTAGTCGCTCATGCGCTTGTAGAAGGGGATGACGTTCGAGAGTTTGTTGATGAGCGGATACCAGTCGTATGGCCAGACCAACAACGACTGTTTCCGAGCTGTGTTGTAAAGTGCTGGTCTGAAATCACATTCGTATGTTGACCCGTCTGTCCTCCGTCCAGTAACCCTGTCGTGGCCCCGATCGAGGAATCCAAGCTTGTCGGAAAGTCCAATATCGGCGATAGCGTCTAGTGTGAAGAAGTTTGTCCACTTCCGATAATCGAGGTTCACGTCCTCAGGCTTCGGTAGCTGTCCAGGAGGCAATGGTGAGGTGCAGCACTCGTCAAAGTGCTTTAGTAGCTTCTGCGTCTTGTCGGCTACCTTGTGCTCCCAGCCCTCCAGGTTCTTGATCGCATACGCAGAGCTCATCAGCTTCCTCTTCCGCGCATGATCATGCTTGTCGATGGCATCGGCAAGATGGTAATGCGAGCCTGCAGTGACAACGTACGATCCGTCCTTGGTACAGGGAGTGTTATGACCGTAGATGTCTTTCACGGCTCGAAGGTCGCCGTACGAGAGGAAGTTGGGGCCCACACGGATTACTGGATGCTTTCGATGTAGTTTCTCAAGGTAGGTGGACCGCGCTCCGCCGTGCGCAAGCACCATGAACGGGATCGAAGATATGCCCGAGAGCGGGTGCATGTTTGGGTAACGCCGAAGACCTGAGATGTCAGTCGATATTATTATTGTACTTGATGGCTAACATACCATTCACATCGCGGAAGTAAACGACTACAGGATAGATAACAAAGTAGAAAAGAGCGCACGCGCCTAGCGCAGCAGCATACGGAATGGAAATGACCGCTGTAGACATCTTGGATCGTAATCAACACAATAGCAACGTTGAAAACAATCTCATTAGCAGCTTTGCATGGTGATAGTATAGATTGTGCGATTGAGAGTTTACTTAAGTGCTCGTCGCGGTATCTCACTGCCCGTTGACGCAGCCGCAAAAGTGGACAACCGCATCCCAAGTTTACCAAGACGGGTATGCTTCGGAGAATGACGTCCTATTGCGGAATGCATTGCTACGACCGGTATGTGCGGGCTTGAAAAGTTGAATCGGGAACTACGTGTGGACACCAACTGACAGCTAAAGTGTGGGGTAACGCGGGGATGCCATAGTTTACTCGCGTCATGATCAGCACTGCCACGAGCGTTCACGCATCACAACGGACTACCGAAAGCGTTGCACTCAGAAATGTCTGGTCGTTATC